CATTAAAAAAGTAAATTATGTTTCTGCATCAATTTACGTAAAATACTCAAATATAGAACATTGAAAACAGAAAGCTTGCTGTAGCCTACAACAGAGAGTAATGTGCGTAGAATAATAAAGTCTTTGCTCTTATTTTGAAGACAGCCTCAGACACACAGAGGTGTTTTATACTTGTTTTTTGTTACAGCCATTTAATTTGCCATGAAACTGCACGGTGTCGTCTCAGTTCAAGCTTCGACACGGATCTGAAGGAACTGTTTTGTGGGTCTATTGCCGCCGCACATACTGCTGTCTGAAGTTCATTCTGAATACATGTAGATTCAGTGAAGTTTGGGAATGACAGCTGGTTCTGGTGGTGTCCAAACTGTTTGAAATAAAACAAACTGGTTTTGAAGATGGAATAATCCAAACTGTGTCCTTTGTCATCGTTTGTCCTGTAATGCCCCCCCAGACAGCAGGTTTACGTCATCTGAAGCAGAAGAGCTGCAGCAATTTTATCAGCCAATCCAGTATTTTGACTGTCCTTCCTGTGAAGACTTAGCCAATGTTCCTGTTGCATGCCACATTGTTTTATACCTATATTAAAAAAAAAAAGAAAAGAAAAAAAGCCTCCATGCAGATTAAAACAGTTTGTGTGGTGATTAGGGCCACAAAATATGAGATTTAGAGAATAGGAAGATGATAAAATAAATCAGATTTGGGGGAACTAAAAACATAATATTATGAGAACAAACCTATGATTGGATTAGGTAGGATTACAGGTCCAAATGTAGCTTGTTGGGACCAAATACACACATCTGCTACTCAAGACTGAAAAAAAACAGCTGTGACTTCCCCTTCATGTTTTTTGGGGGGGAAAAAAAATAATGTTGTCCATGTTTCGATTTACAGACGACAACGTGTTATAATCTGCTAGAAGGATCCTAGAATTAAACATCGACCAGAGATGAAGCACCAGGACTGGGCTCTTTTTTAATAAAATGTGGTCAATTAAACCAAATGTTATTTTCAGTTAAAGTTAATGAGCTGTTGGCCTATAGCATTTCTTATTGTTTTACCATTATTATTTTGGTGACAAGAAATCTACAAAGGAGGCAATGCTATAACAAAATATATGAAGTAAAAAAAATACTTTACTCAAAACTATTTTTTTCCTTTTCAAATTGTCTGTGTAAAAACCATTCCCGGTCTCCCCTACCTGTGATAAGGGCTTTTTTATAAAGCCGCAATTTTGCTGAAACTATTAACTTACCCATGAAGAAGTCTGGACTCATACCAATGCAGTTTCTAGTCCTGAAACACTCACCGTTTCCTGCTGAAAGGTAAAGTGATGTAAAATATATTCAAAGAATTACACAGACTATGGAGAGGATCCAGCTACAAGATTGATTATGCATTTTTTACTTTGTCAAACAAAGAAATGCTGCAGTTGATTTTTATTGTCTGGTCTTTTGCAGGTCTGTCCTAATCAAACAGGACGGCAAGAATTAATGAATGAAACCTGTATTGCCTCTAAGGGAACAAACAAACAATTAAAACAATGTTATTAAAGATGACAAATGGCTGTAATACTTTATTAATAAACTACAACATGTAGATGGAAGCAATTGAAGTTGAAAACAGAATGAGAAAGCTTTCTGCCTGCGTATTCGGTGTGACAACCCCCCCCCCTTCTTGTCTTCTGACTCATCTTATTGCTTTTCAGATGCTTGTTGCGCAGCTAAAAGTGTGCCCAAAACTCTTTGCACAGTAACAGTGCATTTCCTGGCAGCAGGTTCAACAATAAACAATGACACAGAGGCAGTTTGATATTTAATTCTCTGCAGGTATGGTACATTCTGTGGTTAAGGTCTTAACACACCTCAGTGGATTTTACAATATAGAAAAAAAACATGTCACTGACAAAAGGACGGAATATATCTGGTTTTCTCTACAAGGAATCCAAAAGAGAAGACGTTACATGCACCTGCTAAGGACAGACTGTGTTTGTGGTGAAGAAATACATCGTTGTGATGTAGGAAAATCTCTGTACAACAATGGAAACATGGTTTTCTACTACAAAGAGGCCAGAAACAAACATCTGTACACTTTCTAGTCACCTAATACATTTATCAATATCATTATATGATGCTATAGATGGTGGGGGAAACAGTTTGAAGGTTAAAGGTTGAGCTGATATGGTGAATGTCGCCCTCCTGTGGTGAAAGAAACGTAACTTTCCTACATGACAATCCTGGAATATTATTTTTCATACTTATGGGCCCTGAAGTTGGCCTCGTGCAATTTGACAAGAAACACCTGCTGTAACACCTTTTAAAAACAGACATTAATGCCACCACATTTCTTCTTCAGGTCAAAAGACACTGAGACGTCCGAAGGAGAAATTTGGTTGAGAAGTAGAAGAAATGCAGCCATTGATTCAACAGCACTTCAGCAGCAAGTCCTGCTTCACATAAAAATAGACATTTAATGCTTTTGAAACAACAGTTATATGTAACCTGGCCAGTGGCTGCAAGATGATTTACTTGATAGGAAATACACAGATTGATAGTTGATACTTGACCTACAGTAGCCAAAAGGTCCAATTTAGTAGCCATTGTGGAGCTTTCCATTCATCACATCACACATGAAGATGGAATTTAAAGGTTTTTAGTAATTGTAGGAGTTTAAATGTCCTCCCTTCTCTTCTTTAAAGAATAAACAAATTCTGCTGCAGAAAATACCAGTAAATTTTTCCCTTCCTTTTTCTTCTTATAATACTTTTTTAAAAACTGGGTTAAGAAGGAAAAAAAATATTCCTTTTTGGTGAAACTGCTCATTTGGCTTCATTTTAAGGAAACCTCTGGCCTTTGACAAACAAACTTGTCAACCAACTTTGGCCCAGTTTTAATCTTTTGATATGAAAATCACATCCAGAGGAACTCCTATGTGATAGAGCAGGGGTTATCAAAGTGTGAGACTGTGGGCCTCCCCTCGGACCAAGATTAGAAAACCGTGCCCGCCTTTTAGATTAATTCAATTGCTGCATGTATATGCAATCATGTAGCAGCTACTGTAGTTAAAATAGCCTAAAATTGACATAATTTTTATATACAAAATAATTTGTATATACAAAACTGGGCTGATTCCAGCAGCTGGCAAACATCTGTGTGTTTATGTGATTGATTACATATTCCAGGCGTATCGAAGTGATACAGTCATAACTGCCATGGCGTGGCGTTCAATGAGTAAAGTTTGGGTATATCACATGACCACTTCAGAAGGTAAAACAGATACGAATATATTACTACATTAACCTGGTGCTTTGTCCATCATGAAAAATAAACTGTGCATCTTGCACTGTGAGCTCAGGCATCGTGGAGTGTTGTGAACACACTCTTACTTGTGGTCTCATCTAATGCTGGGGAGGAGAAGCAGGTCCAGCCTGATCCTCCGATAGTCTACAGAAAACCTTCATGGGCCACCTCCTTCAGAGGATCCAGCATCTCAACTCGAACACAGCTAACTAAAGTGCCATAAATGCAAATGAGTTAATACTAAAATCACACCACATGTACTTCACAGTGAGCATTCATTTGGTGATTTGCAGGTCAAAAGACGTCTAGGTTAAAACAAGGCTAACTTCGCTTTTTAAATATTTTTAGACGTTATGTCAAACCATATTTTTATTTTTAGACATCCAAGTTGTATATAACTATAAAACTAGTTTCCGACAAGGCTCTGTTTGCGATCTCTTAAGTCATAGTGAGAGTCAACTTTAATATATCCTAAGTCACTCAAAGATTGAAATGTGATCAGAGCGTAAGTTTAAGTTTTGCCTCGTCTACAATCCTTTTAACAATGTTACAGTACTGTAAAATATTTTTCCATCCACTGGTGATTAAAACTACACGTTGAAAATGAGGATGTTCTTGTTGTTATACGGCAAAGACACACTATGAAAACTAAGCATTATCTGCATAAAGAACTGACTTGAGGACCATAGTTAAATTAAATCTACATGGAGAAAGAAAAACTAAAAGATGAAAAAACCACATTTAGCTCAGATTTAAAGTAGATTTCTAGACATCATTTGAACTGCAAATCACCAAATCAGCACTTACTGAGTTTAATTTCTGGCTCTGATCTTTGCATTGCTAAGATGTCTTCAGGTGTCAATCCTTCTAGCTGAACATTGGATAGTTGATCGTTGAATTGTAGATTACAGTTACAGGTGAATGCTGGTTACAGAAAACAACAAAAACCAAAAGGATTCTGGTGTGGTATCAGTATAGATTAAAAAAAGTGTTAGTCCATGCAGCTATAGTTACATAGTTATGCAGTTCTAGGTAGTAAAGACGGAGGTTGTGTGTGTAAAATCATGAATACATTATGTACATTGTAAATATTACTGCATCCACTTCCACATAATCTCAGACACATTCATTTAGTCTCTTCCTTCATTTACTGATGTCGAGTTTTTGTGTATTTCTGACATTTCCTTCTCCATTCGCTGGTTTGTTTTCCTCATGCTTTCTGTTTCCCAATGACACATTCATTCACATGCTGCTGTTACAGGGGTGCCAGAAAAGTGGGAACTTCCAAGTGAGAAAATCTGCAACAGTCGGAAATTTAGGATTCCATGTTTATAATCCTAGAAATTGGATCTTAACATCCCTTTTAAAACAGCTTCAAAATAATTTTGATGGTACACCGACTTGTAATAGGGAAAATGGCGTCTTTGTCCCCTAACCCGGAGCACCTGGTATTGCACTATGTAGCGGGAAACCTTTTGCGACAATGGCATAATGGTTTATTGCATCAACATGACTCTTCGGCAAGCAAACTATAAGAAGCAGCAAAGAGTATATATAGGCTATATAATACAATGTGAGCTCTGTAGAAGAAGCTAACTCGGTATTCTCAGGATGGATATTATGGCAGAGGCTGCAAAGAGACCGAAGAAGATGTTGTCAGAGGAAGAGGAAGTGAGAGCGTCAACGAGCAAAAGCGTAGAAGAGTAAACATCAGACTGGTTTATACTTGTTGGCCGGAGATAACAGAGCTGAAAGGAGGAAACTCCGAGCTGGCCTTCTTTCTGTTGGAGTAGCAAGTCTGTCTTGTGTTGTCAAACTCGCTTGATGCTTGGCTGTGTTGGCAAAGTTGTAAGTGATGTAATCATAACATATGCACATGTACAGCTGTCCTCATTTACCACAGCGTGGAACTTTGAAATGTTGGGGGCGTCAAATCCCAATTCACGCCAAATCTTCCACAATGCTGGTTTAAATCAACAGTTGTCTTTTAAATGTAACATGTTCTTTACCAGTTTTCTGGGGATTTCTGACCTCTGACAGCAAACACACACAAAACCACACTCTTTTCCCTCCATGTTCCTCTTCTTCTCGCCCTTCATCATACCATCGTCTCCGAGCTCGACGCTTTCCCAGTGAAGAAGTCCCAGAAATTAGCAACTGGTGATGGTTTGCTCTCCTCCTGCGGAGTCTGTCTCACCCAGATGCTGCTCTCTGTCGACCCGCTCAGAGTGGAGCAGCTGCCGCTGCCGCCGCTCAGGTTGAAGCTCAGCGCAGAGCCCAGCGGGCCCCTGCGGTCCTGTGTGTCGGGGTCCTGACCGTGGAGTCTGGATGTGGAAGACGAAGAGGGCTGGGCCAGGCTGAGCAGGTTGTGATGGGAGTGGAACTGTCGCATGTAGCGGATGGATTTACCTGAGGGCGCCTCACCTGTAGGATTGAAAGAGGAAAATGTTCAAACCTGTACTTTTCATGCTCAAGTGCCTTTGAGCAAACCTCTTAATCCCCTTCTAATCTTCTAAAAATCTATTTTAAAGATTAAATGTTTCACAAATTCTCACACTTTTCTAAAAACCCTTTCTAAAAATAGATTTTTATATAAAAAAAGGACTGTGGTTAGTTAAATGAAGATCAACATTTAACAAAATGTATTATGTAGAAACATAAACTGCTTAATGTTAAATGTGATTTTTGTGCCAAATCAGCCTCTCCAGCTTCTGTCGCAGCTAGGTGGTGCTGTGGCCACATTTATAATCCCAGCAGCACTCTCACGTTTTCAAACATCAGTTTGAATTGTTATATTGTTGTTTTTATTCACACAAACATGTACATTTTCTGTTAAATTTGCGTAAGTGTACTGTAGTTAGTCGTTAACAGTGAACAAAGAAAGAGTCTTAAATGTTTTCATTCGTTGGATGTTGATAATTAGTTTTCTTAAATGTTATTTAACTGGAACATGTGTTTCAAAATCTCCATTTTCCTTATAATTGGTACCGAATTACATCATGCTTTACTGAAAACCTCAGAGGAAATATTAAGAAAGAGGAGCATTACCTCATACATACACAATCCTGGTGGGAAAAGAGAGCGATTACGTCAGGAGTTAGCTACAACCCTGTTTGCAATCACTGTGTTTTCACATAAAGGATGTTGCTCCTCATTTGCCATAACTTTTATGATAAAGGATAATAAATTTTTTCCACTTCTCCCACCATGTGACTGAACCACAAAACTCTAAAACTCTTCCTGCTGCAGTGCAGTCCAACTGGTTCCCTTCGCATCTCACGCTCACTATCTCCAAATTAAAGTGGGAAACTGTTGTTACGATCAGGGTTTTAGAAATGCTAAGGTCATATGTCCAAACATGCATACAGTTCTCTGTTCCTTTGGATATTTTTTTTCTATATTTTTTTTCAACGGCGTTATTTATTGTTGGATCTCAGAGTTTCCACATGGTCTAACATCTGTTTTCTAACAGCTTGTCTAAGTTGTTTAATTGTATTTACATTAATAATATTATTATTTATATTTATGAACTTTTTTTCTTCTTAATATTGTTTTCATGGCCTGAAAACAAATGCTTTTACAAAGGAACAAAGTCAATAACAAGTATTTATATCAGCCTTTAAAAAAAAAAAATATTAAATTAAAAATGCCAGTTACACTTCAGGTCCCAAATTCAGAGAGAGAGCAGCCTTGAACAGATGACACAACACCACCAGACGAGTACCGTATCTCGTTTCCTGTCGCTTCCTGTTCTGGTTCAGCTTAAGCACGTTGAGGAAGATCTCGCTGGTCAGGCTTCCCTCTCCACCACTACCGTCGGGTGGGAAAAGCGGCGAGGGGGGCTCAAGTGGGGACAAACTCCCGCTGGAGGCTCCCACAGAGTCCAGAGACACCCCTGTATCCCGACGACCCCCTGACTCACTGCTGCTCTCCACCGTCAGATGGCTGCCGCTATGAAGGGATAAAAGAAATAAACACGGTTGATCACAGATAGACAAGGCAGTCAAGCCACTTGGGAACTTAATTGGTTATCGTGGTTACCTGAGTTTCCTACGCAGCAGATAGTCGATGATGTCTGGGTCTGTCTGGATCAGACTCATCAGGACCTCCTGCTGCAGCTCTGCAGAAACCTGGAGAGAACGCAGAGGAGCATTAGAGGACAGTAAAAAAATTTACTTTTTACTTTACTTTTCACACTTTTGTTTATGTTGTTATGCATTTCATCATTTTTTCCTCTTTGACTGATTAACTGTTAATACAGATGCATCTCTCTGGTGGAAAAGTTCGTTGTGAGCACCTGAACCAGATTGAGAGATTAAAGGCTCAGGAAACCTGTGCAGGTGTTTTAAGTTAACTAGCCGATTAGAGCTCTTCTCAGGTCGACATTTCTGTATTATAAATTATTTTATTCTAAAATTCAAATGGAGAAACTGGAGTTTTGATGTCCATAATCATCAAGATTAAAACAAGGCTTGAACTATTTCACTTTGTTTAATCTTTTTGAGTTAAATTACAGAAAAAATAATAGCTGAGATATATATATATATATATATATATTATATATTTTTTGAGATGCACCTGTATTTTAATAAATGTACACTTACTTTAAACTAAACTTACTCTAAATTCAATGTTTTAAATGAAAATACAACATGCAAAAATACTCTATTAAAAGGTAAAACATTCACACGATTAGCATAACTGGACATTGTTTTGAAAGAAGTATTGCTGTCGAGTGTTTCAGTGCTTTGAGCACCAGCAATAACATTTAATTCATCTGTTTGCATGGCTAGATACCAATTGGGTGAACTGGCCCTTTAATACTAGTAACACCTTTGAGAATAATTAGTTGTTTATAGGTAAAGTAGGCAGCGTGTTTTGAAAGATTCCAGAAAAAAAGTGCAATGACAAGATTTGAAGGCTGAATATGCCTATCTGCCGTACCGTGAAGAGCCTCCTGTAGTTCTGTATGAGCACCAGGGTCACGCTGATGATCGCCGTGCTGTCCTCGATCCCCATAGCGTAGATTTGAGGACTCGCATCTCCTCCTTCCCTCTGCAGCAGGTTTGGCCCAAAGATCACGCCAGGTTCGCAGCTGTCATCTTGTTACCGGGGATCTGAACGGAGAGGAGAAATAGAAAGACAATGTGGATAATCGACCTTTCGAGGTGAAGGGCAGAGGTAGATAATGTGAAATAGTTAATTGCTCAGGCTATTTAAAATATGTTGAGTTCAATTAGCTGTTCAAATCATACACCATTTTTTTGTCATTGGCTCTCAACCAGTGGTCACAACTTAACTCTCAGGGCCACTATATATCGCACTATAAAACTAGGGGGTACAAGAGCAGATAAATAAAGATCAAAACTGGGGCAGAATAGTTCCTGGTAAAGCTCTTAAAGATGCTGCATCCTAAACTTCCCATAATGCAACTCACTAGCATTTTTAGTTTGTTAAACAGGCCTTTTTCTCGTTGTGAGCAGTCACCGACCTACCTCCTCGTCATTTGTTCCAATGCTGTCCTGGGCGAAGCTCTGCACAGTGTGTAGCAGGCTGAGGGTCGCAGCAGGGTGTCACAGTTACAGGGAGGGAGCAGGTAGAGGAGGTGCTGCAAGTACTGAATCGGTGCTCCCCTCAGCACTACATAAGGCACAGAGAGGCCGGTTAGTACAGGTTACAGCTGCTTAGTCAATTCTGTGTGTGTGTGTGTGTGTGTGTGTGTGTTTGCGTACGGTTGGCGTGCAGGAAGGCAGGGTAGAGCTCTCTGGGCAGCAGAGGATCAGGCATGTCTCTGAGAAACTCTTTGAGCAGCGCCGCCACGTCATGGACGCTCTGCTCCTCATCCAGCTGGACGTCCACCTACATCGAAGTCCTCCCTCAGCTGAGTAGCACACAAACACACAGAGAGGACAAACAGGGGTCACTCTCTCCGATGGACACGATTTCTCAAAAACAGGATGTCACACATCATCAGCTTTTCACTTGAAGATTATTTTTATAATTCAGTGTACAGTACAGACTGACAGGAAACACCAGGCAGTGGGAAAATTCACATGAGCTCCCCCAATCGTATTATTGATCTGTGCTACTCAGACATCAGTGGATTATGATATAAGTATTTTGTTGGTTTTCCTACTCGTCCTGAGCAGTGTTGGAATGTAATTAAGTCTACTAGTCTAATCTACTTCAAGCCTGTACTTAGGTACAAATTTGTACGTGTTTACTTGAGTATTCACTTTATGCAACTTATAACTTCTACTCCACTATCTTTTATATTGTAATTTTTATTCTACATTTGTCTGACAGTTTTAGTTACTAGTTACTTTTCAGATTTCATACCCTTCCTGTTCAGTGAAAACCATGCACCTTATTCATATATAAATACCCCTTTTTAAGTAAATAAACTATTTAAAGCCCCCTTTGGTTCAGCTGGAAAATTCATCACAAGCTGAAAACAGGCTGTTCTCACATATGATGTTACTGTAACTACTCAACTGGATATAAAGAAGTTAAATGCAACATACACATTAATGCAGCAGTAATATTAATCCAGAAACATCAGATATAATAGATAGAAATAGAAATGTTTTAAATGTTTCTGATAATATATATAAGGTTTTGAATGCTGTCTTTTATTGTCACAGTGTGGTATTAGTACTTTTTTGGCTAAGTAAAGGATCTGGATACTTCTTCACTACTGAGCTTTTAAAAACAGTATCACAAATGAGAGTGTCCTCCAGCCCACTTGATGTAATACCTACAAAGTTTTACTGAAAGTAATAGATGATGTGGGCCCCATCTCTGCTCCTATCTACTGGTTGTGTCCCTGATTATTTTAAAACGGCTTGCGTGAACCCATTTTAAAGAAACCTGGTTTAGATCCCTCCCCCCACAAAACTTTAGACCAATTTCAAAACTGCCTTTATTGCGAACGATTCTAGAAAGAATTGTGTCCAAACAGCTGCTCACTGTACTGGAAAATAACAAAATATTTGAAAAGTTTCAGTCTGGTTTTAGGAAGTACCACAGCACTGAGACTGCCCTGCTTAAAGTCACCAATGACCTTTTAATGTCTGCTGATGAAGGTATGTGCTCAGTCCTGGTACTCCTGGACCTTAGCGCTGCTTTTGACACCATTGATCACAACATCATGTTAGACAGACTGAGGTACTGGGTAGGGATCTCTGGTACTGCCCTAGAATGGTTTTCATCCTACCTGTAAATAGGAAGTTTTGCGTGTCTGTAAACAACTATGTCTCTTCGTTCTGTCCAGTTAAATATAGTGTGCCTCAGGGGTCGGTCTTAGGACCCATTTTGTTTTCCTTGTATCTGCTTCCCCTTGGACATATTATCCATAAAACATGGCATTTCTTTTCATATTATGCTGATGACACAAATATACTTGCCGTCAGATCCACAGACCTGGAATGCTGAGTTCACTTAACAACTGCCTTTGTGAAGTTAAAAATGGATGTCAAATAATTTCCTCCAACTGAACTCAGACAAAACAGAAATCCTGGTCATGGGTCCCAGCAGATGGCAAATCAAATACTGCCATCCTGCTGGTTCCCTAGTAAATCACATTAAGCCTGTTGCAAAGAACCTTGGTGTTTGGTTTGATAGTAATTTAAATTTTGAGCAGCACACCAAAAAGCTTGTTCAATCATGTTTTTATCAACTTAGAAATATTTCAAAAATTCGATCTGTTAACTTTTAAGGACACCGAGACCATTTTACACGCCTTCATCTCATCACGCCTGGATTATTGCAACAGCCTTTTCACCTGTTTAACCCAAAAATCTTTTGATCGACCAGACTGTCCAGAACTCAGCTGCCAGGCTTTTAACCAGAACAAAAGAAAACGTTACTCCTATTTTAGCTTCACTACACTGGCTCCCAGTATGTTTTAGAATTGAGTTCAAAATTCTATTGATCACTTTT